AGGTGTCTGTCATTTGGGCACATAAAAGGGAAGCGTTCGCGAGGTGCACATCAACTGCGGGAATTGGGGAAGCAGTCGCTCTCTTCTCGCGATGCGCAAATGGTGAAGACTGATTGATTAGCGCGTCAACTGGGTAACGTTTTTAGTCCGCGTAAGTAGAGAATGTTTTTTTATCAAGAGAGTATGGCGGGTGGACTTTCGCCCCTGGACAGCGAGATCCGGCGCCAACCTATCCGCTTGGCTCAACTGCCGCTAGCAGGGTTTTCTCCATCCAAGCATTCTAATCGCCGAACGCCCCCAGCCGGGACACGCTCTAATTTCCCAAATATTCTCGCCCGAAAGTGTGATAGTTTTGTGGTGAAGTGTTTTGTGTAAGTATAGGGTGAGAATAGAAAGGAAGAGAAAGGAAGGTTGCTACGAGTCTGTAGCTCTTTGTTAGCGGTAACTACTCCGGCATTCGCCTAGCGTTGCAAAGGAATAACTACTGATCATAGCAAGCCTGGCGCGGCGGCCTAGAATTCTTTTTCAGTTCAGTGGCTGAATTCGAATTGAGTCAGTGTGGAAAATTCTATAATGCGTGTAGCTCGGATCGCTAGGACGCTCCAGATCGGAGTCATTTAATGACATCAATAGATGGGGCTGAAGCCGACCTAAGCGGTTCCGCGAGTGAGGAACTGCCCTCGGGACAAAGAGGCTATCGTACGGGTCGCCCGCACAGAGCGGCGGCTTCGAGTGAGCTGTTACGAGGCGCCGGCCTCTCCGCGCAGTGTCACCCCGCTCCCGCGCCGCCGTCACCGCGCCGCGGGCGCCCGCTCCGCTTCGCTCTGGCCGGGCGAGAGCGCCCAATAGTACGCGGCGGGCGGCCCTACGCTCAATCGATTTACACGCGCGTCGAATGCGACCAGGAATACAATACGGCGCCTGCGGGTGCGGGCGTCGCGGGGGCTTCGGGGGCGGGAGGGCGTCACGACTTTGGCTCATTACGGCGGCGGTGGCGGAGGCGGCGGCGGGCGCAGTGGGCGCGAACACCGCTCTCCGCGCTCACAACACTTCGCTGTCAGTCAAAGGCGATGCGCGTCAAATAGTTGATCCAGGAAACAAAGAACTGGGATTGGCGGTTGATTTCGGGACTGTGTGAACTTCGTACACAGTATCGTAAAACCTACATCCTAATTTTATGTTTTGTTTTAGATATATACCGCCATTATTATTATTATTATTATTATTATTATTATTATTATTATTAATACTATTATTTTTTTGTTTCGTGAATCGGCCATCATGGGACCTTGCAATACTTCCATCCCACCGGGGCTCAGTCATCAGGATAGTCACTTATCAGGGTAGGTGCACGTTACTTTTCTATTGGGAAGATCGGCATATACTGCTGATTCCATTTTCACACCTCAAGGTTGTAAGCCCTGGTGATGTGGTGAAATGACGACGATGATGATGATGAAACGATGAAATAAACATACAAATATAAAGATATACATTATTATTATTATTATTTATTGTTATATTGATTGAATAGTTATATGTAAGTATTTTGTATAGGAAAAGTTAACCTGTTGATCCTCCTCCAGGCAAGGTCTTTAGATTACACATTTGGACAAGCAATGTACTCCAAACACCGCCTTAAGCAAACTCCATGTCACCACTCTGTCATGCGTATCACATACACGGGCAACTCGCAGGCCCAATAAACTGATCGGGCCATTCGCCGTCTCGATAGCTTGGTGGTAAAAACATCTGTGCGTAAACTAGTAGAACCTATTTCGGTTACTGGTCTGTTATGACTATTGTTTTGAACTATTTTACGTTTTTATAAATACGTTATTCTTTCACTTTGGACAGCTTATGTTCTGATACCACTATTAACCGCAACAACAATATTCGACTCCTGAATGACGAATAAACAATACCATTATATCAATTGTTGAATCATATTGAATTGAATTGAATTGAATTGAATTTGCCTTATATTACGTCGCGAGTCTCGGGCCATCAGGCCCGCTCTTCCGTCTGACCACGCAAATTTGGCTACGCTCCTTTCATCTAGCAGAGAAACAGGCGATTTTTGAATTTAGCTCAAAGGCGTCATTTAGGCTTGAGGATCTTTTACATGCAAGTAAATCTACTAACATGGGACAGCCGGCTTTACTTCCCCTCCGAAGGAAGGCGTACGAAGGATTTTGTCGCCCTAAAAATCCATAGCTTTGATATTTAAGATCATCAATCATTGTTGCAAAAAGCAACAGGTATCGTTGTCCGAAAACTGTTTGCCCGATTGCGTTTTCTACACCGAATTAGTACTTTAATTGTTTATCGACCAAAAATCTGCATTCAAACACTTTAGAAGAAGGAAAACAAAAATCACAAAACAGTAAGCATATGAACCTTTTAATGTGACGTATACCACCGTAAACACCGTGGGTCTACTGTGTCGAAAACACTTAATTTCCTCTCTTGATGATTCTCAATTTAAACGGAGTGGTAAATATATAATCATGTGCCTCTAACATAAATATAAACGTAAATATGGCACAATTATTACAAACATAAGTGTGAAGGTAGTCACTAATCGATATAACAACCTATCGTGACAATAAATAGTGTATATATATTGAATTTACAATTGACCAAGAAAAAATAAAATTGATGCGATCGTATTATGTCCATAAATCCCTACCATAGGAAGTATACGAAGATTCAATGCAGCAATACTTTAGAGATGAAGAAGAAGAGCAGGAAAAGAAGATGGAGAAGGAGGTGAAACAGAAATATGCTTGAACGCACAGCATTGGGTTCTGACAAAGCAAAGAAAAAAGTATATTGATGGTCTCAAGTCATGTTACCGTGAACGTGGAAGCTCAGAACTTCCCATCTTTTGTGCTCACATATGTTTGCTAATGTTTCGGCTCACGTTCGCGTTCTCTTCATTGTTGTGGAAAAATCAATGCAATTTGATCTTGCGTTGGCCTTCGTTGACCTTCCATTGGGAATGCGCTTTCAGGCCGGTAAAACAATTACGGGATATGTTATGCGATTCTAGTGACTGATCCGAGTGATGGCATTGAAAGAAAGCTACATTGAAAACAAAACCCGCACGTATTCATCATTTTATGATCGCTTAGAAGCGACAAACACCAGTTCCCTGCACGCCTCATCGCGTTAGGAAATGTCCCTAGAAGAAGCAAAAAAGAGCAAACTTCCCTCTCAATACCATTAACCTCTAGATCTTTATGGTCTACAAATATGAATTGAAGTGTGGGAGAGAGAGGGGACACAGAAGATTCGTCACCATGCCTCTGTAATTGGAGAGGTGTTTTCCAAAGTGACGTAGCTCTATTTCCGTATGTTTTCTTCTTTAACATAGAAGTATATTTTCTTTTCGAAAAAAGAGTTGAATCATTTATAATATAATGTTCAATTTAAATTAATTTCCTTTCCCACAAAAATGTGTTTCTTCGCGATACGTTGTTTTGGAAATAAGGTCTTCAATTAAAATACTTGGAGCAGTAACAATACAAGCCACATGACCCAAAGCAAGCGTCCCTCTGCTCCTAAAAGGTAATATTTATATTCTGGTCAAAGAGTCTAGTTTCATCAGTGTCCCAAGCTATTTATAAACACGAAAGAGACCTATTAGGAGAGGTTGCTATAATTCATGTCGTTCGGGAGGCGCCGCTTCCTAGTGACAGGTGCCAACGTTTCGGCCGCCATTCTGCGGCATTCCTCAGGGCGAAATGGGAAACGTTGGCACCTGTGCCCCGGACGCGGCGTCACCCGGACAGCCGAGAAACGTCTGACTCGGGCCGCGGAAGTCTACGATCTCGTTTGGTGTGGCTTATGCTCCAAGGGCTTCAATAGTAGTTAACCGCCCGACAGCGTATTGAACGTCCTGGTAACATGCGCGCACCGGTCCACTGT